GCTCACAAGTGGCTCCAGGTCCTGGGGATTCAGAGGTCCAGCCTGCTACCGTGGGAAGCCCAAAGCCAGAAGCCTGGCATTCAGAGCCCTGTAGCTCTGGCCGTGCCCTGACACCCTCTGCCTGCCTCCTGGCTCTCAGTACACACTGCCCCCTGCCTCCTTCATCCTGGAGACGCCTGGCCCTGGGTGACACACGCACACTGCCCCTGCCTCCTTCATCCTGGAGACGTCTGGCCCTGGGTGACTCGGCACACACTGCCCCTGCCTCCTTCATCCTGGAGACGCCTGGCCCTGGGTGACTCGGTCAGGCTTTCATTCAGACTCAAGAAACCACATCTGCAGTGCAGATTGCCACGCTCCGTGTGTATGTCTGCTGACCTGCTGGAGGGGCCCCCCTCGAGGGCAGGGAGACCACAGGCCCTCACACAGGGCAAGCAGGAGACGCCACAGGATGCCAACCCCATTGCCTGTGTCACAGGAAACTTCTGGTTTGTTTACTCAGAGAAAACAGTTACAGCCCGCATCTGCACCCACCTCCCAGATCCTGAAGACAGGAGCTCCATGTCGGAGCACCAGCACCCGCTCCTCCAGGCTGGGGCCCAGCCTGGCCCTGGCCACAGGACAAATGGGCTTAGGCAACATTGGATGGGCCCGTTCATTCCAGTGGGGCTCCCAAGAAATCCCTGGGGGACAGGTCCACAAGGGGTTCCTCGTTCTGAGCCTGACAAAAGTCCCTAAACATTTCCGTCCTTCGGACCACAATAGACACTGAGAAGACAGCAAACCTTGGAAAACCACGAACACTAATGGCTCAGACCCCAACATCGGGAGTCCTCGGGAAAGGCAAGTGGGCAATCAGCAAACGTGGACTGGCCCCCACAGCCCTCACCAGGGGCTGCTGCTTAGCACCTAAAACCGTCCCCGGTTGGATGAAGGTCTCTGTGAACAAGGAGAGCGGCAGTTTTCGAAACAAACGCCTCCTGGACAAGCCGTTTGGTCAAGCGGAGCCATGCTTTCTACTTCCACCTCCATCGCCAGCCATGCACAGTCAACTGTGTGAAAAACGGTGCCGTCCTTAACTCTGGCTGCAACTTACAGCAGAGGAAGGGGGCTGTGCTGTCCAGAGGTGCAAGACTGACCCAGAACGCACGACGGTCAGATGGCCATCTCCATGACCCCACTGGGACCAAGCCAGCCAAGCCCAGCCCCTCCTGCCAGCTGGCCCAAAACTTACCTTTCAGAGAGGCGACGTGTGACAAGGCCTGGGCGTATGTGGCTGTGTTCAGGAGGGTCCCCGGCAAGCAGGAGGGGAAGAAAGGTCCCGTGGGACCCACTGTTCGCCCCAGGCTGGCAGAGAGAGAAAATCACACTGAGTCTCTGGCCCATGTTGTGGCCACTGTCAGTGACTTCCCCGGGCCACCCTCACCTCTGCTGGGCCTCCAGGGTGTCCTTCTTGCTCCGGGCCTGGTCCCCAGGGGGCGGGGAGTTGATGTTTCTCACTGGTGGGGGCGTCACCTCTGCCATGGGCTCCTTGGCACCAGGCTCCTGGTCCGAGGCCCCTCGTTCGGTTTTCCGCCACTTGGCCCTTCGGTTCTGGAACCAAACCTGAGTGCCCAGTGGAAACACATCAACAGAGGCAGAAACCAGGCGGGAGGAGGGAACCAGAGCCCAAAGCACACGTCCTTGACCCCCGCCCAGGGCTCTGCGGCACCTTGCAGCCAGGTGTGCAGTAAGCAGAACCTCGTTCTCCAAAGGGCCTCCCAAAGCTGGGCTCTGGGAACTGCAGCTTCCAACCATCGATGGGTCAGAAAATCAATTCAGAAGGCAGCAGCAGGCTTTTTTTAAAGAAATGTTAAATAACGGAAAGCATTCAATGCATTGCTCATCGGAAGGGGAAAAGTGTTCCATCTTGTGAAAACTGTCCACACTGACTTGCATGCAAGTACATTATATGATGTGAAATGGATTTCCTTCCAGGATCATGGTCAAAGCAGTTTGTAAAGCATTGCCCTCGGGCTTCCTCATCAAAAGGACTCAGTCACTCTTCCAGCAAGCTTTACCTGAGCAGTCTGTTGTTGTGTGTCAAACCTCACACCTGGGATTTAATCCTGAAATCATCCAACTACACAGCATGACAAGTTCATGACCAGTGTACCTACTAGAACACGGACTCTAGAATCCCAGAGCTTCATAAATCCACCACTGCAACCCTAGGAGGTAGGTAGTTCTATTACCCCTGTTTTACAGATGAAAAGAGTACGCACAGAGAGGCTAATTAAGTTGCCCGCGGTCATCAGGTGGTAAGTGGCAGCTCCAAGATTTGAAGCCCTGTGTCCCGGCTGGGAACCGTGATCCAGACTGCTAAGGGGTAGTCGTGGCCACCCCAAACATTGTTAGGAAGATGCTGCAAAGCACTGAACCCAGCACTCAGCAGTCAATCACTCAGTGAACACCAGCTGACGTTGTCACCTCCATCATGCTCCGTTCCGGAGGCCTGAGCACCTTCTTAGAGGCAGGTGTGAGATGCTTTAAGCCTTTGCAGAAGGACTGCCTCGTGGAAGCCAGGCAGCCCAGCCCCAGGGCGTTCCCAGAGGTCAGTGAGATCCTGCAGTTCTTTACCCCATCCAGCAAAACCTCTCCCTTCTGCCCCTGGGAGATGATTCCTGGCTTAAAAAAGGCTCGGCCAGAGCCCCTCGCCGTTCCCTCAGGCAGTCCTCTCCTCCTCCCCA